CCCCCCTGGGCCCCTGGGCCCCGGGCTGGGGCCCCGGGGGGGGGGGGGGATTTGCTTCGCCCCGTCCCAAGCCCCCTCCCCGGCCAGCGCCTCGCAGCGCGAGTCCCGGGCCCGCGGAGACTGGTCACTAATCGGGGTGCGCCTGGTGGGGGCGGCGAGTCCTTGCGGGCCCGGCCCCTGCAAAGGGGAAACGCGTCCGGCCCTGCGGGGACCCGGGGCTCCAGTCCCGCGTGTGTTAAAAGCTGCTGAACGGAGATTTCCTCCTCTGGCAGAAAACGAGGGGAGCTGATATTGGGGGTGGCCAGGCTGAGGCGGTGCCAGGCTGGGGGGGCACTAGGCCCCAGAGTGTCTGCTGCTGGTGTGTGTGGGTAGCAGAGCAGCTATGAGAGGGGCAGAACTGAGACCTTTCAAAGTGTTGGCCCAAATGAGGGGGTGTCATTTGAGCTCCCCGCCTCAGGGGCCAAAATGTTGTGGGCTGCCCTGGGTGTGGCAGAGCAGCTCTGAACAGCTACTGGGAGGGAGCGTGAGGGGAGAAACCTATAAATTCCCCCCCACTTCCCCGATCATCGGCTGTGTCTAGACTGGCAAGTTTTTCCGGAAAATCATCTGATTTTACAGAAAAACTTGCCAGCTGTCTACACTGGCCGCTTGAATTTCCAGAAAAGCACTGACGATCTCATGTAAGATTGTCGGTGCTTTTCCAGAAATACTATGCTGCTCCCGTTCGGGCAAAATTCTTTTTCCGAAAAACTTTTGCGCAAAAGGGCCAGTGTAGACAGCAGAGATTTGTTTTCCGCAAAAAAGCCCTGATCGCGAAAATGGCGATCTAGATTGGTCACGGACACTTTTCTGCAAAAAGTGCTTTTGCGGAAAAGCGTCCTGCCAATTTAGCTACACTTTTCCGAAAATGCTTTTAACGGAAAACTTTTCCGTTAAAAGCATTTCCGGAAAATCATGCCAGTCTAGACGTAGCCATCTAGTACTGGGATCAGGATTTAGTACTGGGATCAGGAATGTGAAGGACAAGCTGACTATCCAATAAGAAAATGCTTGTTGCATCTATCAGATAGATGCAGCAAGCGGGGGGGGAGCGGAGGGGGTACTTCAAAACAGCAGCACCACTAGAACCTGGGGCCGGATTCCTGGGCACCACATGGTGCGCCTTGGAGAAGTGAAGGATGAGAGATCTGTGTCCCTGTGTTGCTCCAACTATAAACTTTTCTCAAAGGCTTTGGCAAAAAGGCTTACTGGGTGGGTTGTGCTCAGATCCACTGCATCTTCAACGGGTCCCCTTTAAATCCTCTTTACCTATGGCAGGATACAATTTTGGCTAAAATATTTGATGTGTGCGTGGAGTCCATTTCCCGGAATCAGGAGAGGGCTTTGGAGCGGTGCCGGGAGATCTCCATGGGATGCTCCCCCCTGTCTGTTGTCTGGATCCTGTTCCGGTGAGATGGAAGTTCTCTCCGTTGGCTCGTTTCTACACGAATTGATCATTTTCTTCCTGATGCTGTGTGTCCCTGGGCTGGACTCAGGTAGGAATGTCTGTAGCTTCTGCTGCTGCTTACAGGATTGATTGATTGGTTTGATTTCAGCAACTGCCCTGTTTACCTGTTTATATAAAAGTGAACTAATATTAGCACAAATTGTCCAGTGTCTCAACATCAGTTAAAAACATAAATGAATGATTATGGGTGGAGTGAAATCTTGTAGCCACCCATAAAACAAAGCCAGCCTGAGTCTGGGTAGAGGCGGGGGTTATGTAGCTGTACAAATACAGCGGTGCCACTGTGAAATCTCCCCTGTGGCGCCCATAAAACAAAGCCAGCCTAAGTCTGGGCAGAAGCGGGGGTTATGTAGCTGTACAACTACAGTGGTGCCACTGTGAAATCTCCCCTGTGGCTGCTAGGGATGTCTGCAGATAACCGGTTAGCACCTTCCCACATGAGGCTTGACAGTTACTGATTAACCCGCCGCCCGGTAGGCCCAGTGTGTTACCGGTAGGGGTAGGGGCGTTCCAGCCTGGCTGGTTGGAGCAGCTCCATGCCCACACTTCCCTCATATAGTGCTTAACCAGTTAATGGGGATGTTAGTGATTGATTGAATAATTGCATGACCACACACAGAATGCATCCGTTACACGACTTTTCTATACTTCCAGGGGCAGGGCCAGCTCCACTCCCAGGAGCTCCCTGCTGCCCTGTGCTGCTGCCTCTGATTCAGAGGCAGCAGCGCAGGGTGACAGCAGCCCCCATCCGCTGGGACGCCAATCTCCCCATGACAGAGGCTGCCCTGGCACCCCACGGTTCCCCACGTGTCTCTGCCCCTTCTCTCTGTTGTGCTTAAAAGAAGCACCCGGGATCTTTTTCAGGGGGAATAAGGCAACAGGCCACATTTATTGAACATACCTAGATCAATCAGTACTTATCATATGCATGCGATACATCACACTCAAGCACTCACACACACGCAAGCACACTCCGTCTTGTTGTTACCAAAAGTTGCTCCCCCTAACTGCACGGGCCAGGTGAGTTAGATGGGGGAGGGGTGGAGCCGGGCTTCTGCCGATCCGGATCAATGCTCCCATGGCTTGAAAGCTGACTTCCCACGTGTACCGACTCCTGCCTGCCCCCCTCACCCTCTGTGCTATTGCCTCTCTGTCAGAGGCAGCTTGTTCCACGAGGAGTACAGGTAGTTCGGAATAGGAAGCCTAATCCGAACTACCTAGTTCGTGCCGTGTGTAGCCGCGGGCACAGAGTCCGAACGAGCAGACATTTAAAAATGGCGGTGCCCGGCAACATGCAAATGAAGCCCGAGAAATTCAAATCCCGGGCTTCATTTGCAAGTTTGTATGACTACATTAACCACCCTAGTATGATGGGGGAGAGGCAGGCATCTCTGCGGATCCCGTGTGCATGGGCAGCTGTTTTAAAAGCCGGCTCCTCATGGGCACCAGCTCCCACCTCCCCCCACTGCCTCTGACCACAGCGGCAGCATGGAAATGTGGCTGTCCTAACGAGCGGCAGTAGCTAGGCCAGGTGAGCGTCTCCTGTCAACACAGCCCTGTCTGCACTGGTGCTTTTGTTGGTGAAACTTACGCTGGCCAGAGGTGGATTTTTCACATCCCCGAACGACAAAAGTTTGTGGCACAGAAGTGATCGTGTAGAAAGTGCCCACGGCTCTGACTGTGCTGGGGCGGGAGGAGGTGGCAAATTCCGGGAGCAGCTTTCCCAGAGGTGTTACAAAGAGGCAAGTGTCGGAGTTTGAGAGACAAAAGGGTGGAAACACAGACCTGCAAGGGGACAAGACCAGAGAGAGCGGGGGTGGGGCTGGTTGCAAAACTACAAAACTGCTTCTTTTGCTTTTCGTTCCTCCTGCATTTGGAGAAGCAGGACTCGGCACATTCCCTGCAAATAAAACAGATTTCAGCAAAGAGTGTAGCAGCCTCTGCTCATTTCTGCTGAGGCTGAAAAGGGGATCACACAGCAAAATGTCTCCTGTGCCCTTCAGGATCCAAAACTATGGACCCTCCGCACCTCATCAATCTAGTTCCTTCATGTGGCTCTCCCTGAGCGTCCTCCTTAACAGACCCCTTTGCTTCTCAAAATCCTAACCAGCTTGAAAAAGATCTCAGCAGAGTGTCACAGCCTCTGCTCATTTCTGCTTCCAGCAAGCCCCAAAATGGGACGCTACACTGCTTCCTTCTTCCGCAAGACCATATGCAAATGAAGCATGGATTAGCATAGGGGATCACATGGCAAAATGTCTCCTGTGCCCTTCAGGATCCAAAACTATGGACCTACTGCACCTCATCAATCCCTTTCTTCATGTGGGTCTCTCTGAGTGTCCTCCTTAACAGACCCCTTTGCTTCTCAAAATCCTAACCAGCTTGAAAAATGTGAGAACTCCTAGGCTACGGCTACACTGCTTCCTTCTTCCGCAAGACCATATGCAAATGAAGCATGGATTAGCATATTGCTGTGCTTCATTTCCATAATTAATTAGGAGCCGTTTTTGTACAAGAGGTTTTTGTACAAGAGCCATTCTTCCTGAAAAAATGAGGAAGAACAGCTCTTATGGAAAAAGAGGGGTTTTGTGCAAAAAGGGCCCCTAATTAATTTCAAAATCCTAACCAGCTTGAAAAATGTGAGAACTCCTAGGCTACGGCTACACTGCTTCCTTCTTCCGCAAGACCATATGCAAATGAAGCATGGATTAGCATATTGCTGTGCTTCATTTCCATAATTAATTAGGAGCCGTTTTTGTACAAGAGGTTTTTGTACAAGAGCCATTCTTCCTGAAAAAATGAGGAAGAACAGCTCTTATGGAAAAAGAGGGGTTTTGTGTTTTGTGCAAAAAGAGCTCCCAATGAATAATGGAAATGAAGTGTGGCTATATGCTAATCCATGCTTCATTTTCATAGGCTCTTGCAGAAGAGGGAAGCAGTGTAGATCTAGCCCCCGAGGGAAAGATTTCAGCCCATGCTGATAGTTAAACATCTCGTTAATTTTCCTTTCTGAAAGCCAGATTCTTTCCCGACTGGTACCCTCACAACATTCTGTAACTTACTTTATATACTTTATGACATTCAAAAAACTTAAAAACTCTTTCTACAAGGAAGCAGCATTTTGGGACATTTGCTAGTGCAAGGGTATTCATTCTGGAGCAGCTGGTAAGGAAAACGGCAGACAGTATTTCAGCTTTCATTAAAACTCACATCAAGTATGGTTATCCTAGTGCATTGTGCATTGTAAAATGTGTTTGTCAGTTCAGGACACATTCTGGTGAATGGCAGAGCGCTGCAAAAGAGGCACAGAGGGAAAGATTTCAGCCCATGCTGATAGTTAAACATCTCGTTAATTTTCCTTTCTGAAAGCCAGATTCTTTCCCGACTGGTACCCTCACAACATTCTGTAACTTACTTTATATATTTTATAACATTCAAAAAACTTTGAAAACTCTTTCAATGAGGAAGCAGCATTTTGGAGCATTTGCTAAAGCAAGGGCATTCAATCTGGAGCGGCTGGGGAGGGAAAAGGAAATTCCATTAGCACTCCTATCAATTATGGTTATCCCAGTGTATTGTAAAATGTATGTGTCAGTTCAGGGCACATTCTAGTGACTGGCAGAGCGCTGCAAAAGAGGCACAGAATAGAAAATACACCCAAAAGTGTCTAATTTAGGGGTGTCATTGATTTCAAGGGAATATGACGCACACTTACTTTTTCTTCTTTGTGCCTTTCGCAGCTCGGTTCTCAGTGATTGGGCCCGATCACCCTGTCACAGCTGTGGTGGGGGGGCACATCGTGTTACCCTGTCACCTGTCCCCCAACATGAGCGTGGAGAACATGGAGGTGAGATGGTTCCGACATGAGTTCACTCCCTTTGTGCACCTGTACCGGCACGGGGAGGAAGAGTTTGGGCAGCAGATGCCCGAGTATCATGGCAGGACGGAGCTTTTGACAGACGGCATCACAAATGGGAACGTGAACTTGGGAATTCTCAATGTCAGGCGCTCGTGCCTTTCGCAGCTCGGTTCTCAGTGATTGGGCCCGATCACCCTGTCACAGCTGTGGTGGGGGGGCACATCGTGTTACCCTGTCACCTGTCCCCCAACATGAGCGTGGAGAACATGGAGGTGAGATGGTTCCGACATGAGTTCACTCCCTTTGTGCACCTGTACCGGCACGGGGAGGAAGAGTTTGGGCAGCAGATGCCCGAGTATCATGGCAGGACGGAGCTTTTGACAGACGGCATCGCAGATGGGAACGTGGACTTGGTAATTCTCAATGTCAGGCCCTCTGACGAAGGACAGTACCGCTGTTCTGTTCAGGATGGTGACTTTCAGGAGGAAGCTGTACTGGAACTGGAGGTTGCAGGTCAGTAACGTGAGTCTGTCATCTGTTTAGCTGGCTCCTAGACCCAGACCCACAGAACTACTCAAGTGTCTCTCTCCCCACATCAAGCACTTAACTCTGAAAGTGAGGTGTCCGTGAGACCCTCAAAATAGTCATTGAACAGCTGTTGGGCTAGTGAGACAGAGCATGGTTCTGTAGTCCAATGGTTAGGGCTGTCCCGTGCTAAAAGGAGATTTGTGGTCTAGTTCTCCTGCTCTCATGACTAATGATCTGTCCTGAGTGAAACAACTTCAGCACCAGAGCCCAGTGGTCAGGACACATTCATGAGCAGTGGCAGTGTCCTGTTGAGGCCATTTCTCCCTGTTAGGCAGAGGGGGAAGAGGAACCAGTCTCCCACATTCAGCAAGGGCTGGACACGCTGGGATGAAAGTCACATGAGAGCTCCCAGCACCACGGCAGCTGGCCAAAGGGGCTTCGGGGACTGACTCCTGCAGAGCTGTGCCAGGCTGTGGGTCACAAGTGGAGACAAGAGCTTCAATCCAGCTCTGGAATCAAGGGGAGGGGGATTGGACATGCCCCTCAGATCAGCATCTGTTATGGGCTGTTAGCCTGCTCCCTGCCTGGATTGTGGGGATCCTGTTCTCAGGTGCTGATCTATCCCCTAACTCAGGCTTTTGTGGTCTCCAGCGGTTTTCTAAATGCCTTAAAGTTTAGGCCGTTGGATGTTGCAACACGAATCCTCTTTGTGGATCTGGGGCTTCGTGTTTATCATCCGTGTACCTTTAAATCCCCCTTCACTTCCGCGTTTCCCCAAGCAGCAGGGCTGGTGTCGGTGCTGGTGTCAGTGTGGTACAGGCTTTCTAACCAAATGAAGGACTGGACAACGGCCCTAGAAGATAGGAAGTCCCATGTCCTCAGAAGAGAGGGATACTCACAAATGCAGGTTAAACCTCTCTCATCCGGCACCCTCGGGACCAGACCGGTTCCGAATAAGAGAGTTTTCCAGGAGGTCAATATTGTCTAGCAAAAAGGGTTTTCCAGGAAGTCAGTATTGTCTAGCAGCGTTACCAACACGTCCACTGCTTGCTGGGCTGTTAGAAGACATTGAGGGGTAAATTAGAGCTAAAGAACAGCACAGAACACTGAGAGCCAGGGCTGGTGGCTGTAAACAAACTTTCTGAGGCCGCGGGAAACTTTGCTGCATCCATGAAAAGTGGACCTCTGGCTGGCTAACATCATTCTGCGGGAAACTTAGCCGCACCCATGAAAAGTGGACCTCTGGCTGGCTAACATCATTCCGGACCACGGAGGTTTCCAGAGGAGAGCTTTCTGGATTAGAGAGGTTCACCCTGTATTTGGGCTCTTTTCTGTTCGAAATATGGAATTGTGGAGTATTTGAGCTGGTGGGGGGGGGGCACTCCATGTTTTTTCTTAATGATTTTTGTATCAGCTGTACTGTCTGAGCCCAGCTTGCTGTCACGTTTGAAACTAACCTGCTTTGTTGGATCTGGGCCCTTAGAGGCACATCTTGTATCGTGCATCCTGGCTGACACATGAAGGTTCAGCATCAAGCAGGATCTTCTCCATCTTGTGTCTAATTGCCAGTGAAAGTTTTAGTCACCAGATTTGCTACTTGGTGGCCAGTGTGCAACTCCCCCAGCCACGACCGGTGGCGTGTTCATTTTCTTTTTCTTTTTATTTGATTGCTTATTAAACAAACATTTAAGGTCATGCATCTTGCTAATGAGCCCTTGTTTCAGTATTTTTTTCTTCCCTAACATTTTCAAATATCAAGGGCTGTGTCTACACTGCACCCCTTTTCCGGAAAAGGGATGCAGATTAGACAAGATTTTAAGAGGAATAAGGGACCTTTCGGAAAAGGCTTTATTTTCCGAAAGATCCTGTCTAGACTGGCGCTTTTCTCCGGCAAAGCCCCGAGCCAGAAAAAAGTGACAGCCATGTTCATGCAAATGCAGAGGGGGATATTTAAATCCCCCACTGCATTTGCAATTCCGACTTGTCTAAACTGCATCCCTTTTCCGGAAAAGGGGTGCAGTGTAGACACAGCCTATATGTTTGTGAATAGCTTGGGTGCCAGAGTGGCACACGTCCGAACAAGCGCACATGACCTCAGTACTGGTGCACAAGACAAAACTCACTCCCCCATGCCTGGAAAATCTTAGAGGGACACTGGAGCTGACCCTCCCCTCCCCGCTGCTGTTTTTGAGGACTCATTTAAGTAATTGTTGAAACTAGTGAAGGAGGCTGAGCCGGGGTGGGGGGCATGGGCACATAGGCTTCCGCCTCCTGGCTTCACCTGCCAGTCTCTGCTGCCCCAGGCCATCGGATCTCACTCCCTTAGAAATCAATTGAATCTGTGAACTCAGACCTATAAAGCACAGAAATCAGGGAGAAATCTCTTGGGTTCCTTGCCCCCTTTATGTCCTCTCCAAGCCTGTCAATCACAACACTCCCCTGTTGTGAAAAGCTTTCACTTCTGCCTCTGAGGTGCATCGACACTGCACCCTTAACTCAGAATGAGAAACACACTTTGCGCTACTTTGCGGATCTTTATTTTGAGTCAGTTTCAGAATAGCTTATTTCGTCATTTGGTGCTGTCTACACAACGCCAGATTTCAAAATAAACAGCTATTTTGAAATGTTCCTTAGCTCTCATGGAACAAGGATTACAGGGATGCCAAAATAGTGCATCTGTTATTTCAAAAACTACTTAAGATTAAGGTGCGGAATATGCTATTTCAGGATACCTCCGCTATCCCAAAATAGCGCTGCTGTGTAGAAATACCCAAATTGCAATATGGTTACACAATTGCTTTACAAGCGCTTCTGTCAAGTTCCCTGTCTCCATGAATCTCAGCCATAAAGCTGGTGTAGTCAGTCGTATTGAAAATGTCGGTTTTTATACTCTAGGCTGTACACTTATCTCGGTGAACACCGATTCTTCTTACTCTAGTTTCAGGCTCTGCTCCTCAGATCTCCATGGAGGGTTACCAGGACGGAGGGATCCTGATGGTCTGTCATCTGGCCGGGTGGTACCCAGAGCCCGAGGTGCTGTGGAGAGATCTCAGCGGGCAGCTTTTATCTTCCTCGGTGGAAACCAAATCCAGAGATGCCCAGGGGCTCTTTGAAATCAAAAGTTCCCTCGTTGTGACCGAGCGCTCCAACCAGAATGTGTCCTGTTCTGTCAGAAGCGCCCACTTCAGCCTGGAGAAGGATCCCTCGACATTCTATATGTCAGGTCAGTGACCACCCAGCCCAAACGCTGCCTTCCCCAGCAGGGGAGAGGGAAAGAAATAAAACTCAAATTTGCTAAATAACACAACATTTAAAACACTTCTTCATGGAAAATTACATTAAGATCCAGTTGAGAGCACAGTTTATGGTAACAGATATTCCAGGTACATTGTAACTGTCCCAGAGAAAAGCAGTTTGAACCTGGGAAAAGGGTTACGGTTACATTAAAAAGAAATCCCAAAGGATTACTGTCCACAAATGCCCCCAGACAGGGTTATAAAGTGGTATTTCATTTCTGTTTTTGTTAATATGTGTTTAAACTGAAATTAGATTTCTTGTTGTCATGCACTCACTACAGGGCAGGGCTAAGGTACCGACTGGCTGGCTGGACTTTCTGGCACCCAGTGGACTGGTGGGTCAAACACAAGGCTCCTTGCCCCAGTGACTGTGGAGAGAGAGATGTGATCTGCTGAGATCTCTTCGGCCCGAGGAAATTTGTGACAGTTGAGTCTCTGCTCACAGAGGGTCAGGAGCAAGGCAGGGCCAGAGTTTGATCTGTCACCGTTAGCAAACTTCACCCAGGGAAAGGGGCGTCCATAACCACAAAATACTGTGAGTCCGATCCACAGCCTGTCACTGACGTGAGGAGGATTTGGGTCCGTGCCTATGCCAGGAACTCCTGAGCCCGCAGAAGTGAAGAGTTTTGGGCTATGAATTAGCCCTTTAATCATTTATTTCTGCTCTTAAAGCCTCCGGTTTTCTTTTTCTATGAAATTCCCTGGGGGTACAGAAGTTTGTTTCACTTCAGAGTAAGATTTCTGCTGGGAAATGTAACAATACCACAATTTCTCTTCCTCCCTGTTTTCAGTGTGTCACTAACTGCATGAAGAGGAAGCTTTTCCTTCCCTCTGTTTCCCCAGACGTGGCTGCTGGGTTAGGCGGTGGGTTCAGAAGACCTTCCTTGCGCTCCCTGCAATTCCCTGCCTCGTTCTGTACACGCTGAGGCCAGGGATCCAATAGGCACCCTGCTCAACCCAGCTGCATCCTGGGGGGGGGGAGGGTACATCCAGTGCACTGAGGGCATGTCTAGACTATGTTTAATTTTGAAAGAGGATATGCAGATTCCATGGGAAAGGCAGGCAGGGCTGGGGAGCGTTGGCCTGGCCTCACTCCCAGGCTGCAAGGCCTGAGGACACTGGGGCTGTGGGGAAGCAGCCAGAGCAGGAGAAGGCAGCAGGCCCATCCCCCCCCTTGCCAGTGTGGGGTGGCCATGTCCGAAGCAGTTTGCCCCAAGATAAGGGGCCAGATGACGACTGGCCATGGGTCACTGAGGCAGGTGGGTCTAGAGCAGGACTGGGCAATCATTTTTAAGGGGGGGGGGGCACTCCAAGAATTTGGTAAGTGGTCGAGAGCTGCACTCCTCTTTCTTTGTGGGGTTCTGGGATGGAGTGTGGGTGCAGAAAGGAGAGTGGGCTAAGGGAGTGGGGTGTGGGATCTGGGAGGGAGTTTGGGTGAAGGAGGGGATTGTGACTTGGTGGTTGTGACCTGGAAGGGGACTGGGGTGCAGGGTCTGGGAGAGGAGTGTGACCTGGGGCAGGGGTTTGGGTTGTGACCTGGGATGGGAGATTGGGGTGCAAGGTACCTTTTCCACTGAGCCACTGGAGGAGCCCCCCAGCCTCCCTGTATTCTGGGCTCCCCCTTGTCTGTCCCAGGTCTGAAGGGTGCCAGCTCTGTCCGGTTGTGACCTGGAAGGGGACTGGGGTGCAGGGTCTGGGAGAGGAGTGTGACCTGGGGCAGGGGTTTGGGTTGTGACCTGGGATGGGAGATTGGGGTGCAAGGTACCTTTTCCACTGAGCCACTGGAGGAGCCCCCCAGCCTCCCTGTATTCTGGGCTCCCCCTTGTCTGTCCCAGGTCTGAAGGGTGCCAGCTCTGTCCCATGGGAGCTTGGGTTGGAGGTCCTTGGGGGGGGGGTGCGGAGCTTGAGCCCTTGATCTCTGGCTCTGGAGGTGGGTATCCTATCCTCTGTGCCACCGGAGACGCCCCCCAACCTCCCTACATTCTGGGCCTGCTGTGTCTGTCCTGTGTCCTGAGGGTGCCAGGTCCGTCCATCAGCAAGCTCTGAGGTTAGCAGGGAACGTTGAGGACCACGGCAAGTGGAGGATGCTGAGTGGTGGGTGCATTCAGGGGACTGTAGGAGAAATACAGGACGTTAGTGAGTCTTGGGTTTGGGATTTTGAGGTGACGGGGATGTTTGGGGCTGTGGCCAGTGGGGCAGAGTTGGTGCAGGAGAGGATTCTGAAGTGTAGGAGGAGAGAGTGCCAGGTCTGGAGGGAGCTGTGACCTGGGGCAGGAGGGCAGGAAGGAGGTGCAGGGTCTGGAAGAAGGTTGTAACGTAGGGCAGGAGGGGGAGCAGGGTTTTGGGTTGTGCTAGGGATAGCAAATGGGGTGCAAGGTCTGGGAGGGGGTAGTGACCTGAGGAGGGGTGTGGAAGGGGATGTCTGGGAAGGGTTACGGGGGCTTGAGCAGGGATGCAGAAGGTTTGGGTTACATGGGGTAACGGGCTGAGAGTTTGGGGAGGGAGCAGCTGGGGTGCCAGGGGCCGGCTCTGGCAGGGGAACTCTTCCCTGGCTGGCTCCCAGCCAGCAGCCCAGCAGGTTCCTTAGCCGGGTCCCTGCCTGCCCTGCCCTGTGTGTGCTCAGAGCAGCTGCAGGGGGCATGTTTGCTGCTGTGAACACTGGGGATGAGGGGGGAGGCCACTTCACATGCTGCCTGTCCAGTAAACAGGCAGCTGCTATTGGCTGGAAATTGACCAATGGGAGCTACTGGGGAGGGGACGGTGAGGGGGGCTATGTGAGAACCCTCTCGCCCCCTCCCCAGGCTCTCAGCATTCACAGAAGCACATGGCCCTGCAGCCGCCCGCCCCAATGAGTGCCCAGCGGGGGTGGAGCAGGCAGGGAGCCAGCTGAGGCTCTTGTGGGCCAGATCCAGCAGCTTGGAGGGCCAGATCCAGCTCACAGATGATATTATGCCCAGCCCTGCTCTGGTCAGTCCCCTTCTGTCTGTGCTCTGGTTGGGCGCAGCACCGTGGGCAGTGAGAACAGGTGAGACAGGCCCTGCTGCCCGTCCTAGAGCCCCCCCCTCAGCAGCTGGGAGCTGCCAGCTGCAGCAGTCACAGGGAAATCTCAGCTTTGTCCCTCTGCTGGGGAGGGGATGGTGAGGGGGGCTGTGTGAGAAGCCTCTCGCCCCCTCCCCAGGCTCTCAGCATTCACAGAAGCACATGGCCCTAGAGCCCCACCCCTCAGCAGCTGGGAGCTGCCAGCAGCAGCAGTCACCGGGAAAGCTCAGCTTTGTCCCTCTGCCCCTGAGCGGGAGCGTGGGGATGTCACTTGTGCAGCACCAGGGGCTGTGAGCGGGGGGAGCAGGCTCAGTGGGGCACGATCTTCAGACAGAGAAGCTGCTGGACTCTCAGAACTCTCCCGCGTGTGCATTAACGACAGCTTTTCAGAGGCTCTGCACTTGGCCGGTTGTTGGGTGGATTTTCCCAGGGAAAAGGCGCATCCCTGCCACGAGGTCGCCCTTTGCTTCATCTCACATCTCTGCTCCAACACTCAGGCCACTGAAGTTTCTCCTAGAAAAGCTCATTGGATGGTTTTGAAATGTCAGAACACGCTGTTATTCCCTGCCCCCATTCTCAGAACCAGTTCTCACAGTTTGGCTGAAACTTGTCAATAAAGTTCAGTCTGGGGCAGCCGCCCAGCATGGAACCTTTCTGCCCAGATGCTTGAAATCTGGCAAAGTCGTGAGCAACTGAAAAGAGGGCCCTACAATGGGAAGTGCCGAGCAACATTTATAACCGGTGATGTGACCGGCCCCAGAGAGAAGCAGAGAGAGGAGGTGACAGGGGTGGGGTTGCAACCACATTAGATAGTATTGAATGGTGTATTAAATACTATTGAAAGTCTTCTTCTTTGCCTTTGGCTCCCAATGGGAGCCTAGACTGTCAACAATTTCTTTCCAAGCCTCTCTGTCTTGTGCCACCTTTTCTAATTCTCTCCAGCTTTTATTCGTTTTCCTCACATTCACATCCAGGTCTCTTCTCCAACTAATCTTTGGCCGTCCTCATCCCCTTTTTCTTGCTGAAAGACGGGGAATCAGCAGTTCAGTATCCTTTCGGGTTTGGCTGCCCCACATCATAATCCCTCTTTGAGGGCCTTTTGTAGTCAAGGAAGGCTGGCTTGCTATTCAAATTGAAACTGTTGATGTTTTTGTAGCATATTTTTATTTTTACAGGATGGGGTTGCTAGTCCATGCCCAACCCTCATTCACCTCTTACGACATGCTTGGAAGGGTACAGAGGTGCTATTCTTACTTCCCCATAGGGCCCCGGGAACCTCACGGGGTACTATCGAAAGTGGGTGAACCAAATCTCTTCAAATTGATTTCTGCCAGTTTGTACATTGCAGGGAGCCATTTTTTTCTACATGCATTTCACACAAATCTTGGTGTGATGTATTTTCTTACAATAAAAACATGCAGCCTGTTGCTACTGTGTCTAAGCTAGTCTGTGCTTTGTGTTTCAGACTCCTTTTTCCCAAGAGCCTCTCCCTGGATGGTGGGCTGGAGTGTGACCTTGGTGATTTTGTTGCCATTCGTCTGCCTGGCTTCGTTTCTGTTTAGATTAACAGGTAAAGCTTGTTCGTCTGCCTGACTTGGTTTCTGTTTAGATTAACAGGTAAAGCTCGAAGCGGGGAAATAAAAAGTAACCAGAATTGTTCTCTTTAGAAAAGACAGTTTGGATGTTTCTACATGAGAACGTTACCCCAACTTACGGCATGAATGTGAACTGACTGTGTGAAACCAATGCAGATCTCTGTGTGGACTTACCAATTTAAGAGGAGTTTGTTTCAGGATAGATGAAACGTGTTCCCTCTCATTGTAAAGGAAGCCTAAAACTAGGTTTGCAGCAGTTGAATTAGATTGAAAATGGAACCTGAAAGCATTCAGTTCCCAACTCCCTTTGACATTCAATGTGATTTGGTTCCTAACTCCTCTAGACGCCTCTACAAATCCCTGCCTTCTGGTGTGTTTGAGGTTCATTTCCACTGTATTCAAAAGACTATTCCAGTGTCAATGAACAGCTCATCACTGCTGTTGCGGCAGGCGCTGTTAGATGGTGTCGGTATTCAGAGTCATCCACGTCTTGTGGTTTTGAATGTGTGAGCAAATGTTCGGTGTTGGGGCAGACTGACACTGCTGCTCCTCGTACCCTCGGAAGAGGAGGGAGCAGAACAGGAAACAGACGAGTTTCCTCATTGTCTTGGTCTCAGGTCAGACTCAGTCCTCAAGGCACCAAGTTTTGAGGTTCTCTAGGAAGCAAGTGTGATGGATCCGTTGGATCGGGTGCTAAGTCCCAGCTGAGTCTTGGAGGAAGCCATTTAGCCAGATCCCATAGGGGTGTCGCTCTTCCTTCAGAGTCGGTCCCTCAGCCTCACCACCTCCTCTGCTGGGCCTCTGGGCTCCAGCCCTCCTGGTTCACACCAAGGGCTCTGCCCGGCAAGTCCACACTGAGACAGGCCCTTGGGATGTAACCTGTGTGGGCTCTTAATTCATCCCAACAAGAATTTGCTTTGGCAAGAAACAGCCTTTTCCAAACAGAGCAGGATTTGTTCATCATCTGGCCTCCATCCCTGGCCTTCCCTGTGGGCCAAGCCTGGGAGACCCAATTTTCTGTTATGGAAGATTTTGACACGATGTCACAATGACAATGTGACAACCCTAAGCAATACTGCCCATGCTAATTGCGTAACTAGTTACTGAAATAATAGGGTAGGGAGCCGACACTGTGCTAGTGTCTCGTGGGGAGGGGGGCTTGTGCACTGGATGCTTGTGGCAGAAATGTGTCCATACAAAGAATGTCAGAGGGGCCAGTGGCAGCTCCGAAGATAAGTAAAGATGCGGCCACTGGGGCCAGCATCACGTAGAGTCAGTGCCCACAACCTCAGTGTGTAGGAACTTTGTGAGTCAAAATTGTGACCTTTTGCCAGACTCCAGGCTGGAATGCTGGAAATGGGGAGCCACAGCTCACACCCCTCACACAACTGCACCAGTGTGAAAAGTGACTTGCTGTGCCTCCCTAGGCCTGTATTGACACAAAACAATGCCCAGGAGATCAGCCTCAGTGATCAGTAGCTGGGAGCCTGCGGTCGTTAATTTCACACACGAAATTTTACAGCCTGGTCTCTTTCTCTTTATTATTTAGGTAAAATTCGCACAGAGCTAGGTAAGGATCTTTTTGTTGTTTGTTTTATTTCTCCCTCTGATTCAGTCTTTTCTGCAGTAGTGAATCTTTTTGATTTTACATTTGTCTGGTTTAATTCATTCCTATTTCTGTGTTGACTTTCAGAGTGGAGGAGAGCCCTGCGTGACGCAGGTAATTACAACAAATGTCTAATCAATGGGTGACCCTGCTCTGTCACTGTGTAAGAAGGTGAAAATATAATAAACAGAATAGAGTATGTTCCTGGTGGGAAAAGAGAAGGTGCTGAGGTGCGAGGAGTAAGAGGCAGAGAACATCCAAGTGTGTCCTGGTTACAAATTGCTCCCCACCTCCGGAGATAATCCCAGGTCTGCATCTCTGAGTGGGTCTGAGTAGCCTTAAGAATCCAGCCCTAGAGTCAGGGAGAGGAAGGAGAGCAGGGACCAGACAAAAGAGTTCAAATCCAGAATCCCCTTTATTTTCCAAAATATCCGCGTCTAGACCGGCGCTTTTTTCCGGCAAAGCTCTGTGCCGAAAAAAAGCGGCAGCCATTTTTATGCTAATGAAGTGGGGGAGATTTAAATCCCCGCTTCATTAGCAATCGCGATACGTCTAATTTGTATCCCTTTGCATCCCTTTTTCGTAAATCTAGACGTAGCCCTGTTCTTGTAGAAGTCCATAATTCTCTGTCTGCCCCTGATTACTAGCCATAGACGTTTAATTAAGGGTCTATTGACTCACGTCATTATTTTCGGCTCTCAGATGTGGCAGGATGGAACCAAAGTCAGGCCGGTGTCAGCAAGAGACGTCCAAGCTTCAGGACTTTCAATACAAGGGAGGAAGGGCGCATCAGGGGAGAGCTAGTTGTGACCATGTAACTGATAAGTCTCAGAAGGGGTCATTGTGTTAGTCTGTCTGTAAAGACAACAAGAGGTTCTGTGGCACCTTTGGGACTAAGAGATGTGTTAGGGCATCCGCTTTCGTGGGTGTAAACTCCACTCCGAGTCATCTGATGAAGAGGGTTTTAGAGGTGGGGGGTATCTCTATAACACAACAATAGAAGGCAGCTCCAAGCACCCTCTCTCTTTTCTTGTCCATCTACACTCCTGCCTCGGTTTTACCCACGAAAGCTGATGTCTTAATAACTTTCTTAACCACTCAGGTTTCACAGGACTCTGCATTTTCCCCCCCCCCACACACACACACATGTTGGGGGGAATCCCCTGGGTGTTGGGAGGGAGGGAAAGGGGCTGGCCTGTGGGGACACTGGTGGGGGGAGGCTTGGTGGGTCAGCAGGGGTCTGGCCTCCCCACACTAAGCAGCAGCAGTGGGGGAAGCAGAGGCAGGGGGCCAGGGGAGCAGAGTGAGCCGGGGTCACTTTCTCTGTCTCTCCCTCCTGATGCTGTTGAATGGGGGGGCGGGGAGACTCCCACTGCTGCTACTGGTCCCCCCCCCCTGCCTCAGTGGGGGGAAGAGGCAGGGCAGGGACAGAGCAGGGAGGGGGCAGAGCAGTGGCAGGGGGAGGCGCAGCCTGTGCTGGAGGGGGGTTGTAGTGGCCTCCCCGTACCCCCCTCACCAGTTGCCTCTGCAGGACCCCTGATCTCCACCCAGGGACAGATGGTGCTTGAGGGGGAAGATTGAGTCTCAGATCAGGTCAGTAAATCTCTGGGCTCTGTCACGGGCCAATGGGATGAACCTCAGGGGCTGGGCCGAGACCTCAGGGCTGCTCCCCACTCAGAGCCGGGTGCCCCTGGAGGCAGGAGAGTCCCTGAGTCACTGCCCAGCTGGGGCAGATTCTGTCCCTGACGCCGTCGACCTCCCCAGGGCCGAGCTCTGCCCCTCACGCTCTGATTCTCCCCCAGCCAACGTGACTCTGGAAGCAGACATGGCACATCCCTGGCTCATCCTGTCGGAGGATGGGAAACGTGTGAGATGGAGATGCACACAGCAGCCACTGCCCAACACCCCCGAGAGATTTGACAATTGGTTCTGTGTGCTGGGCCGCAAGGGTTTCATCTCGGGGAGACATTACTGGGAGGTGGAGGTGGAGGTGGGGGATGGGCAATATTGGGCTGTGGGGTAACCAGAGAGTCTGTAAGAAGGAAGGGATTGAGCACCCCAAACCCCAAGGACGGGATCTGGGCTGTGCGGGTGGGGAATGGGCCATGCTGGGCTGTGGGGGTGTCCAGAGAGTCTGTGAGCAGGAAGGGAGAGATCAGCCTGAGCCCCGAGGGCGGGATCTGGGCTGTAGGGCGGCGGTGGGGGGATCAGTTCCAGGCTCTCACTGACCCTGTGACCCCCCTACCTCTGAGCCCCCCCAGCAGGATCCGGGTTTGTCTGGACTGTGACCGGGGGCAGGTGACATTTATCGATGCTGGAACCGAGGCCCCGATCTTCACTTTCCCTCCGGGCTCCCTCCCTGGGGAGAGAATCCGACCCTGGATCCGGGTGGAGGACACAGACACCCTGCTCCGACTGTCTCCATGACAACAGCCCCTCTGGCCTCACACACCCCTGTGTGACCCTGGAGGACTCCTCTGTACCCAGCCCCTGGCTCCTCCTCTCTATGACCTCAGAACTATCTCTCCCTCCCTCCCTGCAGCTCCACTTAAGGGAAACGTGTGAGATGGGCAGAGACACGGCAGCCACTGCCCGACACCCCGGAGAGATTTGACTGTTGGCCCTGTGTGCTGGGCCACGAGGGCTTCACCTGGGGGAGACATTACTGGGAGGTGGAGGTGGGGGATGGGCGAGACTGGGCTGTGGGGGTGCCAGAGAGTCTGCGAGCAGGAAGGGAGGGATCAGACTGAGCCCCGAGGGCGGGATCTGGGCTGTGCAGTGGTGGTGGAATCTGTTCCGGGCTCTTACTGACCCTCACACCCCTCGGCGGGTCCCTGCCCCAATCTTGGGGTCCCCGGGCACATTCTTGGGGGAGGCTCTCTAGGCCCTGCCTGAGGTGTGTCACCCCCTGCCTGGCCCCTTGGTGCCCAGCAGACCCTGCAGAGTCCCACATGCTGAGACCCCCCGTCTCCCAGAGCTCCAGGCCAGGGTGATCTCTGTCCGGAGACACCCACAGGTCCAGAGACTCTGCACACAAGTCCCACCCCGCAGCGCTGAGTCACTGCACCACACAAAGCACAAGAGAGTTCAGAGCAAGATGCACAAAACGACCAACCCGACAGCTCTGCCCCTCACTCTCCCGCCCCCACCCCCCGGCTTAGGGGCTCTGGGGCCAGCTGGGCTCAGGAAAGCAGCCGCCCTGGCTCCTGAAGCTGCCGCCTGCTGGGAACGTTGCTCTCCCTGCAGAGCTGGAGCCAAGGAGCGAGCTCCAGGCGGGGGCTGGGCTATTGCAACGCTGAACGGCGCTGCCTGGGATTGTAGCTGCCCAGAAAATCCCTGGCACGACGCTGGTGACGGGGGATGGGAGTGTCTGGGACAGGCCAGCAGGCCCGGCAGGGAGCTGCCTGAGCTAGTCTATGGGGGGCGCTCGCCAGAGGGGAATCGCATGAGGAATCCAGGCCCCTCTCCTCTCAGTCTGGGATAATGCCGGTTACCGATACCGTGTATCTTGCAAACTGTTGAAACTGATCCTAGGAACTTCTGATAATTCAGGTGCGACCACAGATGTACGGAGCCTTCCTTTGTCAACTGCGCACCCGGAACCTTATCGGAAATGTTTCCTTTAATAAATGTAATTTGAGTGATGTCACCGGGGGAGCTCCAGTGTGGTGTCGCCTCATCCCAGCGCCACAGATGGGAGCTCTCATTTGCAGTAGTCAGCCGGACTGCTCATGTACTGTGGGCGCCTCGTGCCATTTGCGTGCACAGTCTGTCTCCCCCCAGATCCTTCTTCGCTGTCCTGGGAGTGAGCTCTTCTCCTCAGGGGCTTTTTCTAGTCAGAGATAGGGATTTAGCTGTTAGTTTTTCGAGTTGTGTCAGTTAAATAGTTCTAGTAGTAATAGAATGTGAGAGTTGTGCTGTTTAAAAAAAGGCTGCTTGTTTTCAGCTGTTTGTACCCTGTAGTTAAGAAAGATGGAAAAGTTAAGACGACAAAGAGAAGACCCTTCACAATGCCGGGCTCCCCGGACTTCAACAAGTGCGACACCTGTCACGAGCCCATGACAGACATTCTGCCTGGATATGGTGGTGGGAAAAGTAGCCCAAAAAGTTACTTGAGTCAAAGTACTGCTACTTGGAAGAAAAAAACCAAGTAAAAGTCAAAGTATCCTTGTGGAAAACTACCTAGGTGTGTCTAGACTGGCAAGATTTTGCGTAAAAGCAGTTGCTTTTGCGCAAAAGCTTGCCAGCTGTCTACACTGCCCGCTTGAATTTGCGCAAGAGCACTGACTTTGTAATGTACAAAATCAGTGTTTCTTGTGCAAATACTTTCTCGCTCCCGCTCGGGAAAAAGCCCTCTTACGCAAGAATACTTGCACAAGAGGGCCAGTGTAGACAGGGAAGAATTGTTTTGCGTAAAAAAAGCCCTGATGGCTAAAATGGCGATCAGGGCTTTCTTGCGCAAAATCGCATCTAGACTGGCCATGGATGCTTTTGCGCAAAA